GCAGGGAGTGGAGGGCAGGAGCTTACGCGAGGTGACAGTTGCGGCTCCATGCCTATCGTTCAGGCATGCTCACCTCACTTTTCACCTTCTGCGTTCCGGCAATTTTTGTTGTCAGCTAGGAGAAGAGCTGACACCTGCTTTTAGGCCAAGAGCTCCTCCACAGCCACGATGTAAATCACAGGCATTGAAGGAGGCAGCTTCCAAAGGAGATTCACCAGTCCTTCTGTCCCAAACAACAACACACACACCCAACTCTCCCGCTGCGAAAGCGCGTGCTGGGAATCACCACAGGTAAAACCATGCAATTGCAGGAATATTGCACTCTTGAAAATCTCGAGCTCGAAGGAGTGCATCACAGAAAGATTTGGCGACGACATCAATATTCGTCCTTGCAGTCGAAGGCAGGGAAGGCATGAAGGTCACACCTTGTACTTCCTGAATATAAACCTCAAAAAACTCTTGTTGAAAGGAGGACCAGTCAAACTGAGGCTGTCCCTTTGTAAGGAGCTGGAGCCGAGTCTGAACAATCGCAAAGCATCTTCTAAAGGTGCCATCAGATAAAGGCCACAGCTTCTGGTGGGGCTGGAGGTCCGCAAAAGCAATGTAAAGAAGCTCAACAATGTCTGGCGGGTCAACACGTGCAGCCTGGTGCCGAGCAGCCCGACCTCGAGTCTTTGGCGTCCTGATTTGTAGCAACGCGTAGTCTGTTCCTGGAACTGCATCGCGAGGTAGTATCAGGTCAGACCTGGTGGCAGAAAGGGCTTCTCCAGGCCGAAGAACACCAGCCCAGCAAAGTCCAAACAACGCAGACTCGGACAGCCACCCCTAAAGGAGGGCAGTAGGGAGGCAAGCCAGCAAGACCCCTTTAGGGAGCGCCCTATGGTGCTCATGGGGTTCTCCTACCATCCAAGCGAGCGCGAGGTCCCATGCTGAGCTCAAACTCCTCCGAAGAGCTGGTCGAGAAGCGGCAATGGCCTCATCGTCTCTGAGTACTTGTAGCACGGGGCGCCTGTACGAAACAGGAACTGACCGTCACTGACCGCACCGCAGGAGACTGCCTGCGACTTCCTCAGCCTCGTTCAGGGGAAGGTCCAGTAAGGCCGCCAAACTTTGGCCCTGAGTAGAGAGCCACTCGCTGAAGGAAACCACAAGCGTTTCTCGATTGCTCCGGGTGACCGGTCGAACAACCCTGTCAGCGATCAACGTCAACGTAGCTCTCTTTTCAGCCCATCTCAGGTCAGCAGCGCTTGCACCAGGAGGAGCAGCCATGGCGTGCACTACACAACAGAAAACCAAACCCCAAACCCAACCCCTTTCCAAGGAACCGCAAAGTCGTGTCAAAGAGGGACTTAGGGTGGCGCCTTAAGGGTTGAGGGCGGAGGCAGCGCAAGGCGGCAGGCCCAGGTCAAAGTCCAGAGCCAGCGCAGCCAACACGAGGTTAGGGTAAGCCAATGGACGGCCAGCAACACGGGTTAGGGTTGAGGGCTGAGGCCGGCGTGGCACAGCTGCGTGATCAGGTGGCGAAGGCGTTCGGCAAAGAGACCACAAGGCTGGCTGTGGGCAACGAAAAGAGGAGCCGACGGTCAAGAGGCGAGCGCAAAGTCCAACAACGACAGGCTGAACCGGGAGGCTGAGCCAAGGCAACGGAAAAATCGACAGCGCGCGGCCAGTGCCTGAGGCAGTAACAGGAGGCAACAACAGGCGGCTGAGCTAAGCGTCCAGGTTTCGACGAAGCAAAAGGAAGAAAGCAAGTGACAACGCAGAGCCAAAGGGCAAGCGGAAGGAAGTAGATGGCAAGGCAAGGCCCCTCACCAGGAAAGCCCAGGCAAGCGTCAAAATCACGATCTGGCACTACGGGACGGAGCCAGTGGAGAATCTCCTGGCAAGGGAGGAGAGAAGCAAGTCGGAAGACATCTCCTGCCTGCAAAGGAGGAGCAGAAATAGCCTGACCCAGAGGCATGGCTTCGAGAGAAGCCGCGCTCAACCAAGCCACGCAGGGCGTCAGTGTTCAAGAGATGGATACAATCAGTAGGCGATCTGCAAGCATCCGGCACGGGCGAGCCCCGGGGACAAAGCGCTGGAGGAAGAGCGTCCTCTAGCGGCCGAAGCCTTCACTACTTGGCTATCGCGCAAAGCGACGACACGGACGTCGCCGCTGGAACAGGCAAGGTCCTTCAGCAGGGAGACATATGAAGCCAACTCAAGAACGTTGATGTGGGCCTTTGAGGCCCACGGCCAAGTTAAGTCACCAGCCCAAGCCGAGGGCATGGTTCAGGACAGCCGACTCGAGAGCTGGGGCCCTGCCCTGTTCAGGTTCCCAGTCTCGAAGGGTATCTGCGAAAGTATACGCAATCTGCTCGGCCAAGCCTTTCGTGTAAATGGCGGATTGCTTTGCGGCAGAGCCCTGCAAAGGATATTCTCATGGTCTCGGCTGCAAGCATGGCAGAGCCGCCGGGAGGAGAGGTTTGCGCCTAAAAGCCTAAACTCCTTCCTATGAGGGGACCCATACATGCAAGACGCCCAAAACCACGCAAAAACCCCAAGCTTCCTTGCAAGACGCTGCCACCACCGAGCCCACGCAAACTTTGAGGCGCGTGGTGTCTCGTAGAGGTAGGGGCATCCTAACCTCAAGGCAAAGAGGAACAAACAA